GACAAATTTTAGTATTTCGCTCTCAAGCGTAGTCGCACTTTCATTTGGAACATAAATAATGTGCCCACATTTCGTGGAGACATCGAAGAGGCCCAGGACCCACAGTTCCCTGTGTTCTTTTTTGTTTTCTATAATTACATGGAATTGTTTCTTGTTTTACTGTTTTTATAATTATTTACAATTGTTTTTGAGTTTACTACTGTTATATTTTGTTATATAATTATTAAGAATCGCTTTTTATTTTGCCACTGTTGTTTGTTTCAGTTTTTCTGTTTTGTGTTTCATTATTTAAATATACGTATATAAATTTTCCACTTTTCATACTTTCCCCTTAATGCGGAGCCCAATCTGGCAACAGTGCAGGCAAGCGCCTCTCATATACTATGATATATGCACAGACGTCAACGTCATACGGCGGATGGCGGTGGAGTTAATGGTGGAAAAACTGCTAAAAATACAGTGATTTGGGAAAAAATTCCATGCAAAAAGTGCTTCATCCACACTTTTCTTGTTTTAAAATAATCTATAAGACTATCCAAAAGAAAAACAATCTTGCGATAATACGAGAAGAGAATTGAGTAAGAGAATAAATCTTTCATCTCTGAACATTGTGTGAGAAACTCAAAAAATGGCGGAATTGATATAAAAATTGATGAATCAAACCATAATAAACTGAAAGATGAACTTCAAAATAAATTGAATGAAAAATACCAAGTTACTGAGCCGAAAATGTTAAATCCAAAAATTAAAATAATAAATTATAAAAGTAGTGAGAAACCGAATGAAAAGCAAATTGAAGAAGATCTTATACATCAGAATTATATGATTCAGAGTGGAGACATACAAGTAAAGTTTATCAAATATTTTCCATCAAGAAACAATTACACTATCTACGCGGAAACTTCTGGAAAGCTATTCAAAAAAATCTTCGAAGACAATAATAGAAGAATACTTCTGGAATGGCAATGTTTGACAGTATATCAAAATAACGACATTTCTCAGTGTAGAAAATGCTACCGTTTTAATCATACAGAAAAGAATTGCAGGAATGAGAAGATATGTGCCAACTGTGGCAACGGTCACGAAGAAGAAAATTGTAAGCATGTATCAATAGAATGCTGCAACTGTAGATATGGAAATGAAAGATATAAAAAAAATTATAATATTAACCACTCACCTACCGACAAAAACTGTCCATCGTACAAATATTATCAGGAACAACAAAACTTAAGGATACTTTTTTAAAATTCAAGTTCATCTTTAACTACTCCTATCTCTAAAAAGGACCTAAAAATGTCAGTAAATAAATACATTAATGATTTCCAAATTCCAAGTATTGCAACAAATATAGTACAAAACGTCGATGAACTTAATTTATGTACACAAAATTCTGATGCAAAATTTCGAATTTTTAATATGAACATAAGGAGAATAAAACACAACATTGATTACTTAAAAATACTACTCGACCAAATATGGTACAATTTTGATCTAATAGTTTTAACTGAAACGAGGCAAGTGGCTGATATTTCTTGCTTCAATCAGCAGGGATATGACACGCTGTATAACTTTGGCACTTATAACCAAAACAATGGGGTGATAGTTTTTGTAGGAAATAAACTGCAATATAATCATGATACATTCACTTTCACCGATGGAATCAAAATTTTAAACATAATGATCCAAATTAACCATAACAAAATTGAGGTATCTGCAATTTATCGTCCGCCATGTTCAGAACCCCACGAGTTTTTAAAGAATATCATCACAAATGAATACTTGAATATCCTATCAAGTAACGGATTTCTGTCCTATAAAAACCTACCTACAAGGTCCATCAGTGGCACATGTATAGATCACTGCTTTGTGAAAGACCTATCCAACAAAATTACTTGTATACCAATAATCCTAGAAAGCGATCTTACTGACCACTTCTCCACTATTTTACTGATATCTTCAAATGAAAAACATTCTAACATCCCTACCGTTAGTAACAACCAGGAAAATTACAAATTTTTTGTCGACAATTCAAAACTAATATCAAATGTCAAACAAGAATCCTGGGAACAATTATACTCTATAAATAATATAGACAAAGCAACGGGACTGTTCATAGAGAAAATAAAAAAACTAATAGATATTAGTACCAATAAAGTAATAATTAGTCACAAAGAGAAAAGCAGAAATGCCTGGATTACCAAAGGATTAATGACATCGGAAATAGAAAAAGAAAGACTATATAATGTAATGAAACTAACGCCAACTACAGAGAATACCGACTGTTACAACCAATATAAAAATAAATTTATAGAGCTTGTAAGGCAAACCAAACGAAAACATTACCTAAATAAATTGAATAATAACTTAAATGATCCTAAGCAGCTTTGGACAACTATTGATGAGATTACTGGGAAAACAAAAGTTAAAGAGTGTGTCACTGAGTTAAATACAACATCGGGAACAGTATTAAAAAATACTCAACAGATATGCGATGAATTTGTACAATTCTTTACTAACATAGGCGAAAATTTAGCAAGTAATATACAAGAAAATGTACAAAATACTCAGCTTCCAAAAAGAACTTTGAACTCATTTATTTTGGATAAAGTCGAGCAATGTGAAGTATACACCACTGTTATGTCCTTAAAAAATCGGAAAAGTCCTGGGTTCGATGGTATTAAAAGCGAGCATTTGAAAATTATAGCCGAGGACATAACAGAACCACTCACTTACCTAATCAACAAATGCTTTGAATCTGGCATATATCCCTCAATTTTAAAAAAAGGTAATATATTACCGATACATAAATCAGGAACAAAAACAGATGTTAACAACTATAGACCAATATCAATAATATCCAGTGTAGCAAAGGTTTTTGAAAAAGTTTTATCTACTAGAATGACTCGATACCTCACAAAATTTAAAATTTTAAGTGAAAATCAATATGGATTTACAGAAGGGAAGGCTACATCGGACGCAATAACTAAAATTGTAAATCAAATACATCAAAATATTGATAACAGAATCCCTTCAATCTGCATTTTTGTTGATTTAAAGAAAGCTTTCGACACAGTTAATCACAAATTATTATTAGAAGCATTGGAGAGAATTGGTTTCAGAGGAAACGCGTACTCACTGATCGAAAGTTATTTGTCAAATCGCCCACAATCTGTGCAGATATCAAGATCATTTAGTAAAGAAATGTATATTAAGTGTGGTGTCCCACAAGGAACTGTCTTAGGTCCGCTGTTATTCAATATATATTTAAATGATATTTTCCAAATTAATTGTGTTGGCAAAATAACTAGTTTTGCAGATGATACTGTAATATTATATGAAGGCACTGACTGGTCTGATCTGAAAAATGTAATTGAAAATGATTTTATCAAAATTATTCGGTGGTTTAACAGTAGAAAATTAAGCATTAACTACTCTAAAATACATTTTTTACCATTTGGATCTTATGCTAGACATCTGCCAAATTACACAAATTTCTCCTTCAATATTAATGATCAAAAAATGCAAATTAATAGAGTGCCCAACATAAAATACCTTGGAGTGGTCTTGGATCCTCACTTACGATGGGACATCCATGTCAATTATATTTTAAAGAAAGTTAGATTTGTATCCTACAAAATTAAATACCTTGGGAATATATTGACAGAAAAATATCTTCGAACATTATACCATGCACTGATTGAGCCTCATCTCACATATGGTATATTAGCATGGGGAGCTGCATGTTCCTCACATATCTATAATTTAGATGTTTTTCAAAAAAGTATTCTAAAAATGATATTTAAAAAACCGAAACTTTATCCCACTGAAAAATTATACGCAGATGTTCGAATGTATGATATAAGACAGCTTTATTTCTTACACAGTATCACTCACTACCATAAATTTGTAAACACCGACCAAAAAATTAAACATAATCATTATACCAGGTACAAAATTCGTGGCACAGTAGTTCCTCAACCGCATAAATCTATAATGCAGCGATCATATCTCTATTTAGCGCCTAAATTTTATGAAATTATACCTAAAGACTTAAAAGATTTACGTTTCGGAAATTGTTTCAAAAGAAATTTAAAAAAGTGGCTACATTCTATATCTAGGACTGAAATTCATAAACTCATAAATACGAACATCAACTAAATACATAATCTACTGTAGCTAATTTTTGTCCTTTTTTGTCATTTGCATTCTACAGTTTCAACTTAAATTTATTGGTACATGTACAGGCGATGCCTTCTATTGGGCCTGTTTTGATTTTATATTTATTTACTCATATTGTTTGTTATCTTTGTACATTGAGTGAATAAATATTATTATTATTATTATTATCCTCTATAAGTTTCAAGTGAAAAAACAGTGAAATCGGAAGTTCTACAAAACGCAACAGCACCGCTACCGATACTAATGTACTGGGACTAATTGTACGAATCTGCTTGGCGGACTTAATCCGTTTAATTTCTCTGTTATACATGTTCGTAACTAACTTTCTTGGAGGATAACTTGCGCTAAACATAAATCCTTTATAAACTGATGGCGTTCTTTTCTCCTGTAATCTCTGGCCCCCATATCATTGATACGGTTGAATCGACACATCCAGTCTGATTGCATAGACGCATTCTTTTGTAGATCTGAGCAATCCGTCATCTATAACACCCTGTAGTTGCACCTGCATGCACTACTCATCGCACCAGCCACAGCAGCCGCAGCCATAGAGTCTAGTGGGACTAAAATAAAAAAAAATTGACTCACGGCGCGCGACGTCGAAATTACAGCACACACTCATACGGCGGACGCACGGCGCGGAGCGACACAACCACGCGGCTAGCAAAACCCTCGGTTATTAATACCCGGACGCCCGGCGTTTCTTAGTATTCTCTGCACACTACACGCGGCCACGCAACCCATAGCAATCATCATCACCTTGTAAGCCACCCCTTAACACCTTCCAGATACATGCACGGCATGCTCTGATAGGACCAACTATGATGTGCCGTCTTCAATTGTTCTTCCTTATCGCGGCAGACCTGATCTTGGCAGCGCCGATCGAGAGGAACGGAGGTAGTGAGGTGGAGAAGACTTTGGATGACTTTTTGAGTGCGTATTATGACGAGTTCGTTGCTAGAAGGACTGACGACAGTGATATTTACGAGAGGATGCAGGGGGATCAGCCGAGCAATAATATCAACGCTAGTGATCTGGAGGAAGTGAGGAATCTGATGGACTTGGAGCACCGCAAGCTTAGCCGAGAAAAGTAAGGATTATTTAAATTTTCTTTGATTTTATTCCGGTTATTTTGGCAAACCAAATGAATTGATACTTGGATGACCTAGAATTTAAGAATTTTCGAAAAACTGGCGATATTTAACCCTCCTGCGGGTGAAATAATTACAGCAGACAACCCTGTGTTGCTTACATGGAGTGGGATGCCTGCCTGATTGTATTGTGTTTAGTTGTTATTAATTTATTTGGGCGCGTACGACAAGCGATTTATCAAGTAGCTTGATATTTTCATGAACTACGTGACTTAAAATCACTTGAAACGTTAATGCTGGACTTATTCGATATTTTTATTGTCCCACTTGACAAGCATTTTCAAACTACCCTTCAGTAAATTCTATTTGTACAACAGATAAGCCGTATTTTGTGTTTTAATGTAAATACGAGCCCCTTCCCACTTCAGTTGGCCCACTTCAAGATTTGTACCAAAATATGCCTTTATAAACTAAACATGACGAAACTATTTACTTCTAAAACAATTTATTTTCTCAAAAACATTTTAGATACGCTCTAGTCGTAAAAAATACATATTTGAAATCACTTAGACCTATAACTAATAGAACATCTGAACAAATAAACAATGGGTAACATCACCTTTATTTTTTATTATGGCTGAAATTCTTTGGGGTATAGTGTTAACCAAGTTTTGGCAAACATTTGGTGTAAAACAATCCCATATTTCTTGAAGCTTTTGTCCCAGCTCGGTGACTGTACGAACAGGATGTTGTCGTAGAACCTTTTTCACCTCGTGCCACAAGGTTTCAATAGGTGACAGATCTGGACTGCTAGAAACCCATTTCAAAAGTGGTACATTATTTTCTTCCATCCATTTTGTAGCCTTTTTTGAGGTATGACACGCTGCACCATCTTGCTGAAACACAAAATCTTGGCCGGATGTCAAACATTCTTCCATCACTGGTAAACGCGATTCTTCTAAAATTGCCAAATATTTGTTTGTATCCACATTTTTTCCTACTCCTTTTGATGACATACTGCCCCAGACCATAATGGATGCTGGAAATTTCACTTTTCTCGTCAGATAGTCAACATGGAATGCTTCATTTTTTTGCGAATAACTCTACTGCGACTGTCACCAACACAAACTTCGAATCGGGCCTTGTATTGCACACGAATGTTGAGGTGTCCATTGTCTATGTTCTTTAGCCCATCTAAGCCGATTTTTCTTTTGCAGTGAAGTTAATAGTGGCTTTTCTTTGGCCAATAAACAAGTTTTGCAACTTTAGGGTTTTTACTTCTCTTTTTTTTATAAGAAAACTTACCTTGCAAGTGCTAAATCCTAGTTTGTGGGCCTCTCTATGAGCTGTGGACCTCGAAATTCTCCTTCCAACAGCGTCACTCCACAGAGCACTTAACTACCTTAAACTATTTCAAACGTATTCTGACAGCTGTGATTAATAAAAACAATTGTCATGGCTTTTATTTTTCACAGCCACCTATGCGTTATAGACTTATTTATATATTATCAAAATGTTCATTGTTAATATTTTAAACCTATAACACCCTGCTACATTTTTATTATTTGTGTTTGATAAGAAAAAAACTAAGATTTCAATAGTTGGGCCAACTGAAGTGGGCAGGGGCTCGTAATCATGAAAATTGATTTCAAAATCTAGTTTTAATGGCAAGAGATTTTTTATATCAAAAAGGAATTTTCTAGGGCAGCACTGACCATTTCAATATGATTTAAGTCTTTCCGTTTTGTTTTTATAATCAACTCATATTTATATTACAAAAATTATCAAGCAATATCAAGACTACTTGAATTTTCAAGTACATGACGTGAAAACTACATGTCTTGATTTACATTGCTCATGTCTTGAGCTTGACTTGATTCCAAGTCGCCAAGTCAAGTAGCTTGAAAATCAAGTCAAGTGGTGAATCTCTACGTATAACCTTTGAAGAGTTGGCAGTCATCAAAAACAAAATGATAGACAAGAATCTGTTAAACATGCCAATACAAAAATCATCTACAAAAAATAGGTAAGGTTAAATGTTGAAAGTGATAATAATAAAAAACGCAATCGATTCGGGCAGGCAGGCGTGCTGTGCTGGGTATGTAACGTAAGGTACCAAAATCACCAGCTATTATGGTGTTATATTTGAGTTAAAAAATCATATATCTTGTTTCCATTTCAATAACATGAAAATGTACAGCGGAATCATGGACGAAAGCTTGGATTTAGGGCTAACACTTATAGGGAAGATGACTATTACGTCACATCATAAATTGTACCTAAGTAATCAATGGACGTACGTCGATGATAAAATCACGATGTCAGGGACATAATGTCAACAAATTTATATTATGATTTTGCGAAGTTAGGTTATTTCACTGATTATTTTTATTTTCATTTTATTTCATGGTTTTGAGTGATACCTAAATAATAATTTTAGTGGGGAGTTTTTGTTTTGGAAAAACAGTTATGAATAGAATACCTTAAGACAGGAACACCAAAGACCAAAGTATTCTTCGAAAACAACCTAACCTGCTTTAACATAACCTCACTATTCATCTTTCAAATATGATCGATCATGCAACATGAAAACATCGCGTCGGATACATGCAAATTAGCAATACAGTTTGTTTGGACAATAAAATTCTGTTTGTTTCTGTCTAACATATCTGAAACTTCATTACAAATATTCCTACAAATCGCTGTCGTTAGTCTTTACTACAGACTAAAATGATGACGTAATCGTCATCTTTCGTGATTTCGATTATATTCCCGTATCATTAGTCGTTCCTAGAATTTTAGGACGCCTTTATGGCTTCCTTGATTTTCCTAGTTTTTCCTGTAGTGTAAAGGCGCTCTATTTTGAGGTTATGTTACAAATATCTATTTGTACTAAATTGTTCATGCTTTTGATTTTTATCATCTGTTTTATCAGCTTGAACTTTCCAACAATTCAAAAAGAACATATAACTAGGAGAACGCTGAAGCTGACACGGAAGGGTACAAATCTAGAAATACCCCAGAAAATACAATGAAAATCAAAAATGCCATAAAGGCCTCCTACAATTGTAGGAACGAATGGCGATACGGCCCTTAAATTCACAAAAGCTTCGAAAACCTTGATCATTTGGATGAAACTGATCATTTTCTCTGAACGTTGTCATTTTTTTAATTAATTTCATCAGCTCGTTATCGATTTATTTAACAATGTTTGACAAATATGGACAAAATCGACTTAGCTAACAGCATAACGAATGAAATATTCAAGTCATTAGTAATTCAATTTTATACTCTTCTCTTCCTCAGCCAATCTGGTAACAAACACTATTAGGAACACTTTTATTTGTGGAAAGTGGAATATCTTGAAATTGGTTGACCAATGAGAGCGATATTATAAAACTAAAAATAATTACATAATCTATAACTTTCTTAAAAATTTGTACACATTCGTTGCTAATATGACAGCTAATAATCTTGATATCACTGCACTGTTCTAGTATTTGAGATCAGTAAGAGCTTGAATTTTCTGAAGAATCATCAATAGACTCAATAATTATTAAACATTTTTGGCATGCTGGAAAGACGTTGAAGTTTTCAAGATCATAATATGTCGAAAAATTGTAGAAGATTGTTGAACTGATATGCCTGTTTCCCATAATGAACAAAATTACCCGATCTAGGGGCTTATCTAGAAAAAAGTGAGTGGTCGATATTTTTAGCAAAATGCTAAAGAATCAAATATCTCGATATCAGTTAACTTTTCGATCCCATATCATTTGGTAAAATATTTGGGTAATCACCTCGTTTATCTACATTCTTAAATATGTTGCAGGAATTTCCCTGCAGCGCTGTATAAATTACTTTATAAGCTATTTACGCGATATTATAGAATTTGATTACGATGAAGACAAGCGAAATAAACATTACACCAAAAGAAGTACGAGAGATGTCTTTCAAGTTTTGCATGTGGAAATAAAACAACACGGTAGGTAGTTTTAAATGACTTTATTGTTTTTCGAAGTATTCTCCACGAAGATTAATACACATCTGCGTGCGCTCGAACCAATTTTCGAAGCACTTATTCCACTCATTTGCTGCCAGATCCAAAACGGCATTTTTGAATGCGTCAATTGCTTCTTCTGGTGACTGCAACCTTTGACCACGCAGTCTGTTTTTAGTTTTCGGGAAAGTAAAGAAATCGTTAGGACTTAGATCGGGACTATATGGAGGATGGACCAATAACTCCACGTTTTCTTCCGTTAAATACTGCCTTGTTTTTTTAGCTGTGTGCGAGCTTGCATTGTCTTGGTGGTATACCAATCCGCAGTAACAGTTCTTTGCTTATTCAGAGGAATTGTTGCAATATGACCCGCTTTTGACATAAATGTCGCGATCATCTTTTTCGAAACACTTCGAGAACGGATGATTTTTGTTGGCTTTTCTTCACCATGGAACACCCAAACAGCCGACTGTCGTTTATTTTCTAGTCCATAACAGTAAATCCACGAGTCATCACCACTAACAATGCTGTACACATTTTTTGAGTTTGCGGAGTTGAAATGGTCAAGCGTTTTTTGACACCAATTAACCCTGGCTGCTCTTCGGTCAACTGGTGGGGTATCCAACGAGAAACTAATTTTCTTACTCCTAATTCTTCATGTGAAATTTTTTGAATTGAGGTCTTTGAGATCTTCAAGGACGCCTCAATCTCGCGATATGTCACATGTCTATCATCAATGATGAGCTTGCGCATAGCATCGACGTTTTCCTGGGTGAATGCCGTTTTTGGTGCACCCACTCTGGAATCGTCGCTAAGACTCACCCGTCCACGTTTTAATTCTCCATTCCAACGGGAAATTGTGGACTAATGTGGCGCTTCGTTGCCGAAAACAGACAGTAACTCAGCAAGGCATTCTTGTTGCGATAATTGTCTCTGAAAGTTGTAATAAATTATGGCGCGAAAATGTTCTCGGTTGAGTTCCATTTTTCTAATGACTTGGTGA